CTCCCTATTTATTTCAGAACCCCCTTCCCCTCCCCCTTTTCTGATGATGGGTCTCAGCCCGAACCGTCAGCCTTTCTGCTCCTATGATGCTGCTCGGCCTGCTGTGTTCATCCAGCCCTGCACCTTGTTGTCTAGTGTTTACATGCAGCTTCGTTTGTGTGTGCTGGGATGGTTACTGTTGAAGTTCAGTACCTGGACCGTGTGTGTGGTTTTTCGATGTACTTTCATTTGCAGTTCCCCATTTGTCTTGCGCTGTACCATGACATCCAGGAATGGGAGCTGTTTGTTTTTCTCCTCCTCTCTGGTGAATTTTATTCCGTTGAGGGTATTGTTTATAAGTTTGTGTGTCCCCTCTAACTTGGTCCGTTTAATGATGACAAAGGGTCATCTATGTAGCGTATCCACAGTTTTGGTTGGATTTGCGGAAGGGCAGTCCTTTCTCGTCTTTGCATCACTGCTTCTGCTATGAGTCCTGAGATAGTGATCCCATGGGTGTCCCGTCGATTTGCTCGTATGTTTGGCAGTTGAAAGTGAAGTGGGTGGTGAGGCATAGGTCCAATAGTTTGAGCATGTTATCCTTGGAGATGGTTTCACTGGGGTCGTGCTCTTGTTCTAGTAGTGTTGTCATTGTTTCCCTTGCTCGTGGTATGTCAATTGATGTGAATAGGGCAGTGACATCAAACGATATCTTCGTCCTCTATATTTATGTCTTGATGGAGTTGAGGAATTCTTGGGCTAAGTGGATTGCATGGGGTGCCTTGTTGACTAGGTGCCTGAGTCTTCTTTGTACGTTTTGGCTAATCTGTGTGATGGAGTGCCTGGTCGGGAGACTATGGGTCTGAGTGGGACTTCTGGCTTGTGCACTTTTAGGGAGGCCGTAGAATCGGGGTGTGTTGGTTCCTTCGGGTTTCATTCTTAAGAAGTCTGTTTTGTTGATCAGTCCTGTTTGTTTAAGTCTTTGTAGCATGTAGAGAATTTTGTTGCCTAGTTGAGGTGTCGGGTTAGTTTGAACTGGCCGGTATGTGTTCTCGTCGGCGAGCAGTGCTTGTGCTTTGGAGATGTAGTCCCTTTTATTCACTATCACTGTCATGTGCCCTTTGTCTGCAGGTAGTATTGTGATGTTCTTGTCCTCCTTTAATCTATGCAGGGCCCATCTTTCCCGTGTGTTGAGGGTGTTGAGTTCGCTCCTTCTGGTTAGCGTCGGGATTACTGTCTGTCTTACCGTTTGTTGTGTTTCTTCGTTGATATTGTTGGTCTTGAGTGTGGCTTCCAGTGTGGCTAGGAATTCCGTTTTGTTGGCGTCCCTGTAGTTGTAGTTCAGTCCTCGGGTGAGAACGGCTTTTTCCGTGTCTGTCAGTTTCCTGTTGGAGAGTTTCCTTATCCATGTGTCAGTTCTGTTGTTGTCTTTTTTGTGGGTAAGTGTGGCTAACTTGTCTTGCAGGGTCTGTCGTTTCTTGGTTCTTGTGGTCTGTCGGCTGATGTTAATGGCTCGTTCCATGTCAGTTGTTCAGTCTTGATTGGTAACTTCCAGGAATAACGTTTTTGGCGCGTAATTTCCCTGTTGTATTTGTGGAGCCAATTGTGTGTGTCGTTTATCATTACCCTCACCATCTTGCAGCTGTTTTGTTCTGCTGTTTTCCGGGCTTGTGGGTTGTTGATGGGTGGTTTGTGCTTCACACTGCGTGGTAATACCGGGTTCCTGAGGCATCCATGTAGGAAGTAGAGTTGTTCGCAGGTTGCGCACTCTCGTTTGGCGTAGTTTTCACATTTTTTTGCCAATTTGAGTGTGTTGCGCCTGTAGGTCTCTTAAGTTTTGGAGTAGATTTGTAGCTTGGGTTGTGGGTGTTGAGGTTGGTTGGCTCGCTGAGCTGGTTTCTTGTTTCACAGACATTTCGTTACCGTGCTTGGTAACATCCTCAGTGCAGCCTCCGATGAAGCGTCGGTGTGTTTTCCCGCCTGGTTTTTAAACTCTGGGGTCCGTTGAGATGGATTGCCTCACTTCCTGAACACAGCAGGCCAAGCAGCATCAGCAAAGCAGGAAGAAGGGTCTGAAGAAGGGTCCAGACCCGAAACGTCAGCTTTCCTGCTCCTCTGATGCTGCTTGACCTGCTGTGTTCATCCAGCTCTACACCTTGTTATCTCAGATTCTCTAGCATCGGCTGTTCCTACTATCTCTGCCTTTTCTCACCTATTTCTGCCTTTAAGGCACTCTTTAAAATCTACCTTCCTACCAACCTTTTGTCACCTGGCCTAATCTCTGCTCACGTAGTATGGAATCTCATTTTAATTTTATGAAGATTCCAAATGAATACAAGTAGTTGTTGAAATGGAAGGTTTGTAGAAATTGTAACAATAAATTGAGGAAGTAAGTGAGCAATAGACTGAATTATTTCAAGTATCACACAAGAGTACTTGGATTGTATTCTACAACACTAATCATGTTCTGTCTCCCTTTAAACTGTCCCTTAATGTAATATGTGAAATGCGTTACTGAGGAAAGTGCAACAGCAACATAACATTTAACAAAACCTCATTCTAAGTCGTCTTCCTGCTGTAGCCATTGTGAGGTAGTGTACAAATTGCTTGACAATATTTCAGAAACTCATGGGTATTGTCAACGGCCCTAATAACTTCAGGTTAGTACTTTAGCCATTCCAGACAGGAATTCATGTCTCTGTTTTTCATTTGCCCTCTGAAACTCTCTTCAATTAGAGTGTGTGCTAACGTGAAGGGGAAGCAAGGAAATACCACCGATGTGACCAACATGAGCAGCCTTTTTGAAAGGCAATTTTCAATGAAGACCGATTTTGTTCTTGTAACGAGTCATGCAAGTCATCTCCTGGACCAAAGAAGTGGGAGAAACTATTTGTCAGAAGTGTTTGCCTGCATTGATTTATTTGCTGCTTTCAAGAGATAGCATATTTGGGATGGATTTGTGTGTTTGAGATTGGATGAGTGATGTGGTATTATCACGTCCTTCTTACCATATTTAATTTCATACATTCACAAAGTTTCTGATTTTCTTTCCTGCTTCTGTATCGTGAATACTGGAAATGCACTACTTTTCAGATAAGGTACATCATCTTAGCTGTAGAGCAGAATTCCATTTTCTTGAGACATATATGTACGTGGTCTCCCATGTGGTATCAGTGTTTTCTGCAGTGCAAGTCCTTGTTTGCTCTCTCCAGCTGCTCCCAAGTGAGAGGGCCCACTTGGCATGAATTATTGGCAGCATTTTTGGGCGGACTTGCCCACAT